CGAAAGGTGTCGCAATTCGTGTGGCTATAAACACAGCAACATCCAGCAGAGATCAGATACCATATCGCATTGTTGCCCTAATGAAGCGCTTTATTTTTAGTTTGCTGAAAAAAGACGTCAGAGATTTCATCAGAGCATTGAATGAATGTTATTTGCAGGCTAGTGCGCTTAGTGCGCCCGTGTTGCTATGAGAAATGAATCGAGACAAAACAGTTATTGCCAACGTAGGTTTTATGGCAGGAAATTTCTCTAAAGGTCTGTAAATATGTTCACTATTCATAAAACAGACCAAAACCATCGCTTTTGCTTAGATTTTTCATTGATTATAGGGTTGCCATTCGTCTGACGATCATTAGGTCCATTGATGTAACTTACCTTGATGGAACAACAACGGTAATGGAGACAATATAAAGGAGTCGAAAGGTGAGCCCTGCATTATTCTAGGTATCGCAGATGAGTAAAAGGAACGCAACTGGCCAACCAATTCTAAAATCTGCAAGTCCTGGGAAATGTTTAGTGACTATAGCGACTAGTTCCTACGTTGCTATACAACTGATGTTAATTCGATGCTCAACGCGATTGGAGTGATTGTTATTTTGGAGACTGCACGATATGTGCACGTGATTCTTTAGGCTTTACACGTAGTTTATATTAGGCTTTTTGATCTTTATCGTGTCTGCATGTTCTCGTGATCCACTTGTCAGTGTTCACCATTGCGCCGGCGTATTTTGCTCGTTTAATCTGGTTGATAGGTTTACAACTCTGGTAGATCCGTGGTTTTGTAGATACGCTAGGTTTTCGAGTTCCAAGTTATATTTTTGAAGATCGCGCAGATGTTTATACAGGTACGTGTTCGACATGCTACAGATGTTTACACGCCTTCATGGATTTCAGGAAGAGGAAATTGCGAATTGATGACAGCTGAAAACTCAGAATTACGTTCCGGCGTCTTATGGGTCATTGAATTCTAATTTTTGATAACCCACTGATCTAAGATGGCCAACCCGTTTCCTGGCTGCACATGGTAAATACCTGCAAAAGCTAATAGAAAAGACAGTGCATCATGCATACAAGTAAATTAATCAGGTGAAGACAGAACTATATAGTCATGCTACTCTTCAAGGCATACTTCGGTTCGTTTAGCAAATATTCCACAAGTATTGTCGAACCTAATAGCAATTAAGGCTTTGAATAGCAACAGCTATCACTATGGGAGCCTTTGCAAAACGAAAGGCCATTTGACCTACGCTTGAAACGACTTCCTTGCTAAATGCTTTACGTAGGTGTCTTTAGAACTGGTAGTGATGAAGATGTGAGTTCTGAGTTAGAGAGAACGGCGAACACAGAATTTGCAGCCAAACAGAGAAGTCGAAAGGCACAGAACCTTTCATACAGACCCCCTTGAGGGAACGAATAGCTAAGCTATGCCGTTCTATGCCGTACGAAACGGAGCCATCACCGAGAACGCGGTCGTAGGTAGTCAACCAGGTTCTAAGATTCGCCTACTTATGCTGAGTGAACTCAGAAGCTGGAACGCGATAAGGGGAATTCAGATGCAAAGAGCGGCAACATCGTTGCATATTCCCGCTGCTGAAACGATGGCTTTTAATTAAACTCCTAGACCCACGGTGCTGTTCTTCAGCCGCAGTTGTTCCTTAACTCGAGGGCTCTGTTTGCTTTCAGAGGCCGTGTATATGAAGCACGGCCCCATTTCCAGAGTCGTCTATGTGGATTCGCAAAATGTGCACAAGTGGCTCTTCTGTTTGGGACGACAGGCCACGCCAACCCACACACGAAACATATTCCAACAAGGCGTTCGTCAATTGCCCTGTTCTAAAACAGCTGATGTGTATAAAGTTATGTTCAAATTAATTGTTTAATCGAACATACTTTGTACGAGAACCGTAATAACCGCTTTCTAGTAAATAGATTGCCAGCTTTTTTCATCCCGCGATACGGCAGACCTTAATGGTACGTCCAGAGATTGTAGTTCTTTCCCAAGGAACAATAAAACTTATAAAGGCTGTTCCAGATTTTAGACAAAAAATATTCTAGCCACTTTTCACCTGCGCTTGCAATAGGCTTTATTCTTAGGAAGGGATACGGGCGAAGCTGTCAACGAGTAAAAATAATCTATTGTGACAATATTATGTTTTCTATCAATGTCTGGGTTGCTAGTTATCGGGTCTGCATTACTGTGACTAGTTCAGCGACCACGGCAACAGAACCTTGCCAGATTCTAGCTCATTGAATATACATCTTTGGACCAGATAGGTTTATAGGATCTGTAGCAATAATAACTAGTGCTTTTGTACGTTCACAATATACATGAGTGGTGTGTCATCGAACTGGTGAAATTTCAGATGACAGCAATCTAATGTTAACCTATCAGAGAATGAGGCCCGCTCACAAAACGTATTCACAAATCCAGAAGATTAATCGATTGAAATTACTCTTACTAGATAGACACATTAAGATAATCCCCAAAACTTTTGGAAGAGTTCATAACCTAACCGCGTCTGTAGCTAAGAAGACTGATATTCGAAGAATACGATCATGCTCCATTATTCGATTGCTGTCTATCAGGTACGTGTAAACAACACTACCCCTCAATGACAAGATACACCCAAGAATAAATTAGGATTTAAAGTACGGCCTGCTAGGGCCGCTGATGCGAAAAAATCGCGCACAGAGAACAGGATAATGTGCATTTTTTTTTTCGTGAGTAAAGTCAAAAAAAAAAATCTAAGAGACAAGGTCTTAATTTATAAACTCGACAACTATCATATACTTCTGGGAGGCGCTGTCATCGCCTTATGACACTTGATTACTGCATCCGCCAATCTGCACTTGGAATATCGTCTGAACACATCGCATTTTGATCAGAGGCGTGTTTTGTAATATGTATCAAATTGATCCGAGAAAATTGAACTCTGCTGTAATAGTCACATCGCTTCCTCTGTCATATTGTAACAATGCGTTATATTTGTAACGAGCAACAATTACCGTATCGCAAGATGCATATGTATTGAAATCACCGATATGTTCTTATCTCATGCCTACCAGTATATATGAAGTGCACAGTGATGGTTCAACAAGACGTACAGATCAAGCAGTTTAGAAAAAGCTCGAATCGGTAAAACATTAATACAGCATCATTAAAGGGAATTGACTTAATTATTTTCGTAGGAAGTAAAAAATTTTCGCGGATAGAGTTTTACCGACAGGTTGTGTTGTGGTATACCTTTTTTTTTTTTTTTTTCGGTTTCGAGTTGTGACGCACTTCGAGGCAGCTGATATTCCTAATGTCTATCGATAACATTATCTGAATATGAATACCCCACGTAGCTATAAAAGAAGAAGCCTTGCCTAGCTTCTCTCCAGCTAATTTGTAAAGAATTTGTTACTGACGCAAAGCTCGCGGTACGCCATCTTGCATTTCTACTAGCTCATTGAAACAAATTTTCTCTAACTCCGTCAAAGACCAGTTCTAGTTTTAAATGATCATTGGCAAACTTCTTAGGCACGCAATTAAAAGCAATGTTTACTTTGCGATTGGTGGGCACTTGAAATTTTATTTCGGTCCAGACGTATCCAGTAACTTCACAGTTAATGCAGTAACTAGGGTAGTAGCCAAAAACGTGTCCTGAATATTCTAGCGACTGCCTTCAACGAATAACAGCTATATACGGGTGATAAATTTATTGAAACTTCTATTAGAAAAGGCGCAGTAACAACGATAACAAAACAAAAACTATTTCCAATGTCTCCTACGAATCCTATGACGTGTATTACGCAGTTCCGATTTTTGAAACTCGCCTAGCCATTTTCTTTTTCCGAAGCAACAACTCGAAACAAGCTTGAAAATCCTATACACAGCACGTTTAACGTACCTAAGACGTTTTCCGATCATCATCTTGCCTTTTAACCAAAGGAGCCGTCGTCTGTGTTAATAGCCGTATTGCCTCGCTCAGCATTTTCATCAGCGTTGTATAGCGACGGCCGGTTCTGGTCTCTCGATACTGAACTTTTTGATTGAAGGTTGTTCCGGTGAACCGCTACCTTTTTGCGCTTCTATCGTTTTCCAGTTCGTGCTTCACCACAGACTTCTTGGTTTATATAGAGCTATCTTTAGATCCATTAAATGGAATTTGACCGCCACTTGTCTCACCGTTATGTGGCGACTAAAAAGAGGAGCGTGGTTTCCCTAGGGCTGTAATATCTCCAAACAATGGCCTTAAGCCGAAAAAATCTCCTCTTAAGATTATTCGAAAGTATTGTCAAAAACGTGGTGAAGTACAGAGTACATACCCGAAACACTTCCGACCAACATAAACATTCGTTTACTTCGGCGTCGGAACACTAGCCGCTGTAGTATCAAATGGTATTGAGCAGGTCAGCCAACTTTGACGCTGCGTGTGGAACGGCCCGATTACACATTGCCGATTCATTATTGCACAAGGCCACATTCGAGGCCGATAGCAGGAGACAAAGACATGGCTTGAGCAGCGAAAGTTGGCTGCGCGAGAATTTACTGACGGCGCAAACGTTCGGCGATCGTAAAACAGCTCTTAATCTACTGCCTCGTTTTTTCGTTGCCATTACTGTGATACCTTACAGCTGTACTGTACTAATGGAGAATTTAAAAATGAAATTTTAATCTTTCATACAAATATCCTGTGACACCTATATGCGTGGCGATGCAAACAACATTCTCGAAGCGCTGTTGTTCCGCTTAACGGGGTCGCAGCTCTTTGCGGATGCCTAGGCATCGTTATGGGCCGCCGCGCTAGACGTCGCTATCGCTCTCGGAGAGCCCGTAAGCTTAGGCCCACCTCCTTAAGGAGCCGTATTAGCGTCAACGTACTCCCGATAGGGATTTCGGAATCGCGCCATCCGGAATCTGGGATCCCCGAACGAAAGTAAGCTCATTACATATGTATATCTTAACAAACGAAGACATGTTTAATGTTTTATACTCAATAGAAATACACGCTTTATTGAAAATAGCTTATCTCGTTATTTGCATAATATATAATCGTCGTTGATAATCATCGTAGAAAATAATTTTGTATCATTCATTGTTTTGAGCAAGAGCACAAATAGCTCCTCACAACTCTTCACATCCTTCGTTCTGGATTCCTTCTGATATCAGGTGTGCAACTCCTTCGCACGAAGGAGTCAGCTCGTCACTTCTTCAAGCGTTGATCTGACAATAGTTCATCGCTCTTACATCGTCTCCACACACACGTATATATATATATATATATATATAGGTTCGTGGCGGATTACGCCTATATAATCCGCCGCGGACTGCACGATATGGTATTCGTTCGCTTACTATCTAGATATCGAGTTCAAGCCAATACAACAAACGACACACGAAATTTAAGAATTCTTAATCAATCAATGCTTACGTACGTTTCATTATATGAGTAGACGCCGCAATATGCAGCCAGTGTTACCGTTGTTGTACTCGCGAAGATCACCTCTCAGTGCTTACAGATGCATCATGGCCGCCCCGATACCTCGAATTTCGAAATATTTCGGCAGATCGTTGCCAGAGTTCGCTGTCTCATTCGATGTGTTTTCGGCAATCGATTCAATCTAAGCAGCATTCGCCTGTTGGCTCGAAGCAGAAGTCGATGACGCTCAATCGATATTTATGCACGAAGGGTTGAATATCATGAGTTTTTCGTTGCCATAATTGTGTTAATATGATTATAGTTATTATGGCACACAATGCGTGTGGCGCACCCTTTCACTTTCTTGTTTTTATCATTTTCATGTTTAAACGTGTATTTTTATGTGTTGTTTTTTTTTTTGTTGCGCTGTTGAAACCATGTTGATATAGATATCTGTATACTGGCAGGTTCCACTTCTATGTGCGGCATCATGCAGTTTGCCAACTATTGGCTTGGCAGTGCCCCTATCTATCACTGCTGCATATAACAGGAAGAAATATTCGTGTGGTGTAGAACACTATCTGTAAAATGAGATCATCGTCATATATGTATCATCATTATTAATATTATTATCAGTAAGGTTATTTATAGAGTACATTTTATTTCATTTTTCTTCGTTCATTCTTCGTCGTAGTTGCTATGGTTCGTAAGAAAGGTAAAAGTTTGGCACAAAGCTCCTTTCGTGCACCGCCATAACCTTCAGGCCTGCTACAGCCACTGGGGAGGGGGGGGGGCAGTGCAGAAAATGGAACTGCAAATAGATAGAGGAATACATGTACCAAAGTCTCCGCGTAGATGATATCTATCCTTTGCAAGTTACTACAAATGGTAGTAACTTATAGTCGGACAGCTTGTGTTGTAGATGAGATCAGAGTGCTTACCCGGCAACTGGAGCAAGCTCATACAGAATGCGTACTTTATAAGGGCAAGAGCAATTCTTTCGCGAAAAACTGAAGCTAGTTAGGTTATTGCTATCAGGTTGATCAGTTTCTATCTTTGTATATCGTTCTTCGTATTGAGCAATAGACATTGGAGCCGTCGAAGGCAAAAAGGGCCGTCCTGTGGCCTTAGTCCAGTTAAATATAACGTGCCGCTGTTTTCGAAAGGAATCAGAAGAAAACAGTGAGAGCGATAAATACATGTTAGGGGAATAGGGTCCGAGTTCCGTTCCGAGTTTATTCGTGCTAGACACTTTCACTTTCAAGCAGTTCTGACGTTATGCGGCCGTCAGTACCTTCATGAAGAAAAGGAGAGCATAACACTTTGATTGTACGATTCACTCGTCAAGGATGCGGCGCTTCATTGAGGTAGCAAGAAGTTCAGTTGTGTCGGCCTGAGACCATCAAGGATAAAGCGCAAGGATAGCAAGATTAGATGTAGTAGCAATAGGAGCAAAGTAGAAAAGATAGACTTTATAGATAGAGGTAACTTTTTGCTTGTTTGATGGCGGTCAGAACGTACAGCGTACGCGTCTGCATGTTTGACTCGGCTGGGCTACGATCAACTGAAATCAAAATTCTACAAAGATGACATTTACAAACGATGTACGAACGCGGGCCCGCACAAAAATCGGTGTTAGATTAATTTCTCTAATTCTGTGGCAGGCTTTTTTCTATGTAGTCTTTATTCTATGGATCGTTGTCGATGTCATGGATTCGTAAGCTGCCTTCAGTGTATTACTTCAATTCAATGTTTCTATTTCACACTTCTTCGAAAAGTATAATCTTCGTTCATAATCCAAATTTGCGAGCGCCGCTCAAATGAATTACCTTGATTTTCGAAATCTTAAAGCCCAAGTGTAAACTCTACATCGCTATGAGTCACAGGGCAGAGCTGAGCCCTTCTATCTCATTGATAAACGATGTAATTGGTGTGTGTACAATAATGACACCGGCAATACGAGGCAGTGTTGTGCAGTCTCTCAGCGCGAGATCTATATCATTATCCATATAATATATCTCTCTCCTTCTAGAAACGGAATGAACAATCTATATACATGACTTCGTTTGTCGTTGTCGTTCGCTGGTGCTCTATTGATGAATAATCGTCAGCAACAAAAATAGTTTTTGCTTTTTTTTTTTTTCTGTTTGTGCTTCTTCCTTTCTCTACGACCGAATTCCATGGGGTTTATGTTATACTGCAGATGTGAACAACTGCATTATATCTTCCCCATATCGTTCCCCATGTTGTAGCTGTTGTTAAAGTACAGAGGTCCAAAGCCCTATCAAGAGGCGTATCCAGATACTTCGGATTTACTCCCGACTCCTTATGACGACTCATTTGCTGGAGATACACTCAGCGGTGGAGATTCCACACTTTCCGGTACTCTGTAATGTAACAGGAGCTTATCCATTTAAAACTGCTTTTACGTTTTGAAAGTAAGGGAAATTTACCAATAAAGAAACCGATATAGTCTGCATCGTCGTATGATCCGAGTATCGAAATGTTTTGATTTATTATATGCGTCAAAAAAGCATTTAGTGTGATTCCGTATAACTTAATTTCACACTATTGTAGTTGATGCACAACACCCAGAGGCGTACAACATAACAATTAGCAAACAGGACGACGAAAAGGCGTGGAGATGTATTATACATAATAATCACAATCCTCCAATACATATGGGTAGGATAAATCCGTACCTGTCATCATTATTTTCCGGGGCGGCATCTCCCTCGGCCTCGTCCTCTTGATCGTCACCTTCCGTATCGGAGACACCCATTGTCCCATTATTTGCTCCGATGACATTTCCATTAAAAACACTCCCTGTGGTCGCCAACTGCTGCAACGGGCCAGCTGCGTCCATAGGCAGGCCCTCGAGTTTGCCCATTGTGCGAAGCTTCTCCATAAAGCGCACAATTTCTCGTTCTGTCTGTGGTAGTGAAGATAGTGCATCAGATGAAGGTCCTGGATGTTCTGGCGACGATGCTGATGATGGTGAGTGTGCAGCCTCGGTCGGTCGTTCGTTGCCCGCGGGCAGAGCGTTAGGACCCTAAAACAAATAGCGAGTAATGAAAGAATGAACAAGAAATGAAATAGTGAGGAAAGAATGAAATGAGACAAAATACGACGAATAAGACGATAAAATTTGATGAAAAGTAACAAATCAGAAGTAACAACACGAAAAGTGTTGCTAACGTTTTGATAACAACGACATTTTGGCTGAAGTATGTATTGAAGTAACCTAGTTTCGAATTTTACATTCGATAATGTCGTTAAGCATTGCTTCAGATTCATTCATTCATTAAAGCTGTGGCCTCAGATAAATTTCAATATAAGACCGCTATATTTTCTTAGTATATCCCCCTGAAAATAACTAAAAACGTTCCGAAAAGCCCGTTACTACCTCTTAGAAGGTCATTCTAAATTTTGTGAAGACTTTCTAAAACCGATTCGCTTTCTGCCTTTGACTACAAATTGCTGAGAGAGATTGTGGAGAGATTCACAGCTACGCTGAAATATGCTGTCTGGAACCTGAAGTCATCTCATAATGTAAAGATACTTACGAAAACAGTGAGGATGTGTCTGGCCGATTTCAGATGGTCGCGCAATTTGTCTTTTCGAGTGAAGGATTTGCTGCACGCCACACAGTCGTATGTTTCGCGATCGGCGAAGTGGCGCTTCATGTGTCGCTTCATCGTCGAACGATCGAAGAATGACTTGAAACAATACGGGCAGGCCGATGCCTTCACAGGAGTTCCCCCGGAGCCGCCAGATCCGCCGGATTGAGGCGAATCAGGTCCGCCGCTCACTTGGTAGTATCCAGGACCTGCCTGGCCAGCCTGTACAACCTGCACTGCTTGAACGGTCTGCACAGGATGGGCGTGCAGAGAGCTTTGGGGAACAACCGTGGCCTGGTTTGGCTTGGGGACGAGCACGGTAGCTGTGACAAGGGGTACAACTGCGGCGACGGCCGCTGCGGCCACACCGCTAGACGTTTGCGGAGGCCCCGGCACAACCGTTGAAGAAGATGGGGGTCCACCTGTTGACGCAGCTGCAGCAGCGGTGGTAATTGTTTGAATCGCAGCGGTGGGGACTGAGAATAATGTTAGACAATAGGAAGCGACGAAGTTAGACAGGTGACTACAATTATTTTAAATGTGGAGTCGGACGGAAGATGAAAATCCAGAAAGGATAAGAGCGTGAAATATAAATGCACAATGAATCAATTAGAATAGCTTGGAGTTTATTATTGATGCTCTGTCAGCGTTCGTGTAGCATATCGAGGTCGTTAAAGAAGGTTAGAAAACATCTGAAAGAACAGAACGTGTTAGTTGATTTGTTCATTTGGGTAACTCTTACAAATATAGGGACGACTTCGTCACTTTTGCAACATGCATATAAAGAATAACGTTAGCGACATTTGCAGGTCACAAGAACGCGTTGGAGCAGTCATGAAACAGAGGAAGTTAGTTCCGAAATCCAATCTTGAAATGATCAGGTAGCAGAATGAATCAGCTCAAATCCCCCGCTTCTCGCGATCGATTATCGAAAGATCTGTAGATTACCTGAAGAAGAATGTCATATAGTAAAGTACAAAATTTATTTGTCCTTTGACTTGAATTCGAACACTTATTGGCACCAAAGCAAAATGGGCATACTGCCTATGATGGACTGGATGACTGCCTATATTATATACAGGTAAAGTAACATTCACTGGAACCAAATAAAACTGTGCGGTATATTAATAAATCAATCTGAGCCTTCTGAGTGTCAAGGTTTATCTCCACCTGGGAGAGCCTTGAGCCTTAGTTGGAGATAAAGCCATAAACGTCAACACTCTCGATGACTATAATTGTCACTTATATTTCTAAGGTTCTAAGTATAAACATGACAATAGCACGATAATTGAGCGATATAAAATCATATTTAAGAAATATTCCGGCGACAATTACGTTCATAGTTTATTTAGACATTAACTCACGATTACCAAAATACTGGTCGCTCCAAACGCAAAAAACTCATAGGAAAGTTCATGTAAAAACGTGAATTTAGGTGAAACTGAATTTACACAACCCTACCTTGTGTTTGAGAGCGACACTGCGCCGTTTGAGACGAGAAGTCAGCAAAAGAAGATCAAAAGGGCTATCGCTTACCATAAAGCAAGAGGAAATTGCTACATTGTATCCTAAAACTATAGTTGTTCCTACAAAAACTAACAGCTTTTCTCTCGCAGCCAACAGAAATGTTTCCTGGCACTAGATATCCATAAAACCGTACTTGCTAGACGAACCTACAGACTATGGTAAATGCATATAGAAAAGAAAAAAAGAAAGCACGTCACAACGCACTCGACTTTAACAACGGGTGCCTTTTATAGTGAGCAATTTTTACCGCTAAATCGATAGATCAAGATTCTCAAGGAAAAGTACTTATTGAGTTTGGCACGAATATCCTCCAAATGGATACCACAAAGGTTGCCATATACCGTATAATAGACTCATTTATTGATTCGCTCGTGGTACCTCTTATTTCCGTCGTCTGTCTATCGGTTCGGGTCTGGCTAAAACGCAAGATACATCATTTAACCATCTATAATGAAGTCTTATATCGAGAAACGACGAGGTACAATTGATCATGTAGCAGAACGAATTACATGTCGAATACTTGATTTTAATTTTATTCGTGTATTTGGTAAAGCTGACGACAAATGAAGACTAGCGGTAGATCTTGGAAAACGCGACAATAATCTCAGAACACGAAAGGGAAGACGGTGCGTCGAGTTATCCCGAACGCAGACACTCGTTCCCACATAAATTAACCAGCATTGTCATAATCATTCCAGCGTGTCAACTGAACGGGGTTTTCTAGCTTAAGATACCGATTAGTCGTTTTCGTCATCTTCCGCAGTCCCATAGGAGCTGGGAACGGGGTAAGTCGAAGATGGTTTTGACGCCTTCTAGGACCTTACTTGGCTTAGATGCACGTTCTCTCAATGCATGATACGTTTTTAACGCGCATTTAAATAATTTTCGTAGAATATTAATTTCTCGAAAATACACCTGTCGCCATGCGTTCGAACCATAGTGAGTAGCTCCTCACCGGAGAATCACTCTTTTCGGATATGACAGTTTATTGAATGTACATTCAGTATCTCCATTGCTACCTCGGTTCGAGTACATACATACGACATGAGCATCGTAGTTTGAAAATTTGGGTAAAAGATGTCGAAGAAAAGCTGGGTTTGATCGACTAGTTTCAAACTACAAGGTTAAGATTTATATAAACCCGAGCACAGAAGACTCAGGGGAATATTCAAGGAGTTTTCTGTTGTGTTATGATGGGAAACTTACAACCACAGCGAAATATTTATCTTGTCAGACTTTCGATTTGACCACTTCGCTAATTGACCGGACTTTGTCGTTGGTGGTCTATGCTGCAGACCTTTACCCTAATTTTTCTCACGTCTAAAATCACCGTGGCCATTTGTATACATCATATTATACTAGCATGCTGGTTGCTTTAGTACGTTTATATATATATATATATGTAGATATTCTACAGCTGCTAGATGAATGGTTGACGAAGGGTTCTTGCAAAGAGATAGAGGCATGCGAAAGCAGCAATAGTAGGGAACTACACTAACGATAGCACGAGCATTAGCAGTTCGAGAACGTTGATGGCAACAGCAAAATTCAACAGTTCGCACTAGCGGTGGCGGTGGCGGTGGCGGTGGCGGCAGTAGTGGGTTGACGGCTGATTCATCACGGTGGCGCGGCTGGCCCAAACAGCCGTCAGACATGGGTTTTGGGGCCCCCGGCTTCTGCCTACCGGCGGTAACGTGCGGAATCAGCCGATCAATCGATCGACCGGCCAGCCAGCCAGTTACAATCACTGAAAAGCGGCACGGTTACTAGTCAGCAGTAAGCGGCTACTTCGACAACTATTACTGCTACTAACACGGCCGGTCTTCGCGACCCGTCAACTGGCCGCAACATCTACGCTTAGCCTTGCAGACGAACAGCCAGACACTCTGGCATTTCACCGTAAAATGTCTATACGAGAAGACAAACATGAGAGAAGGGAAAGTGAAAGAAAAAAGAAGAATCGATCCTTCTCTAGCTTTCTCTCGACCCCTACGTTCTCCCCTTCCCCCAGAAGGACCCGGCCTAAAGTCATCGTCGGTAGCTCCATTCGTTCGTCCGGTAACGACCATGGGTCGCTCCCAGACAGCTACGACGACCGCGAGCACTACGCAGATTGTTGTCGCTGTTGTTGTTGCTATCGCTGTCGATGCTGTGGGCCTCGAGACGCAGCGACAGCGTCTCCGTCGCTAAGGCGATAGCGTAGTAGAAGCCATTGCTGCTGCTGGCTGACGTAGGAAAAAGAACAGCGACAACAATAACGACAAGGACGGCAGCAGTAACACTCGACTGCAGAGACACCATCAACATGCACCGGCACAGACAGAGCGTCACAGACAGACACAGTCACATGAACTGATCCAGCCAAACACGCTAGACGCGTCCGTTCAATGTAGCTGCCTGCTAGACCACAAACGAGGGACCCGGAGAAAAATGGATCGGCCTGGTCAAACAAACGCAGACAAAAACGGTGACGGTGGCGGCGACAATAACAAACACGCGCATAAAGAGGCAAGAACAGCGGCGGCGGTCGCCATTGGCGCTGGGGTAGACAGGCCGAGACGGGTCATACAGAAATAGTGCAGCCAAAGAACCGCAAATACAGCCACGACGACGGCGTAAAGAAAGGCAGCAAAAGGCCCCCGATCAATCGCTGCGGGGGGACCCATAACAGACGTGTATAGATGCTGCCACCGCTGCCTCGATGGTCGACGCTGACAGCGATAACAGCTAACTACTACTGACCCAGTCTCCTAGCTTTTTTGGTCGTTTTTTTGCCAACGAGAACATACGCGCTAACACATAATATAGCACAATTTTCTTGCCGTAAATTTTTCTTGGTCTGATTAATCCGCTAGTATTATGGTAACACAGGTGTGAGTTTCTCGTGCGGCGACGGCCTCGGTAATATATTCACTGTGTATGATAATGTAGCTTGTTTTTGGGCCGCAAATCAGCAACTTTAGTGACACAGAGCTTGTCACTAGCGAAATGTCTGTTCTATGAATAAAAAGGATGCTCTGCTTCTCTACATAAATGATTAGTTAATTACAGAATTAGAAATTCAAAAAGTTTTAGGTGATCATTATATATATTTATGTATGTTTATATATGAAAAAAATATATCCATATATAAACTATATATACAAGATATACATGTATATATCGACTTTGGTTCCTTACATGTTTTTTTGTGCTTACTTCCCAAATTAGGATTCGTACGCGTTTCTGTATACTTGCGCGAATCGGATCAGACAACTGACTTACGCCATAAAAACAACCATCTTTAAATGTTTGGTGCACCTTACTGCATTTAGGTCGAACCAACATTAAAACACTAAGTAAAAGCTATTTAGGTATAGTAAATCCAAACAGAATTGTGTAAATGAAGCTGTGTTTAGGTTTTTGTAAAGGTAAAACAGGCAACGTTTTATTTCGTATCGCACGCTGAGTTCGTTAGGATAACCACAAACGTTTGGTCTAGGATCCAGAATAATTTTCTTCAGTCCTGGTTTACGCTACAAGAAAGGTAACAGGCAGTTTTAAAGTGGTTTCTCACGGAACTGAATTTTATACAACGGTTTTCTTGTTTATCGTTTTTTTGCAAAATATACTTTTCCTTTATGCTAATAATTTTCAAATAATTTTATTAAAACTGCCTTACTGCTTGACATGTAAGACAGTTTTTTTTTTCAACATATTTTTATGGTGACAAATGAACTACTAGTGTCTGAAATATCTAGAATCGGTACAAACTAAACACTATGAATATCAACATTACATTTTGGTATTACTCTGTTGATGACTTCGCTTGAAACTTTCCATAACGACCATCGATTCTGTTTCCACCGTGATTTCCAGACATGACAAGCAACTGTATGTGATAGTATGTAAGATATACAAATCCAAAAGCATATCTACAACTCTGGCTGCTTAAGTTCGAAGCCTTTTAGGATTCAGTTTGCCTTACGGTTCGCAAACTTTTCGGCTGAATATATAGCATCAGTGTATATCTCGTCAGTCCCGCGTAATGCTTCATGCGCATACAACATGTACCTCATGAAGAGATAGGCACATACATTATACCGGTATACTTGTAATTCGTAAACAATCTATCTTCGACCTGGTTTTTCCTCGGCAAGCTTGAGCCTTTAGGTGCTGGCTCCGTAATAAAAACCCCATAGATAAGAAGCAGCTTTGTACGAACCACTCTCCCGACCCAGGGAACACCAGCAGCCTTCGTATTCCCGCACGAGCGTTTCGCCAGCTGGGCTCCAGGTCAGCGTTCTCGCTATACATGTTCTTTCGCTCTCTCTTCTTTCTCTCTTCCTCGGTCTGTACTGAGTTCCCCATATACACACTACCAATCCATATTTACACACATACACATATGGCCATTAAGGGAGACGCTGCCCCTGAGCGTCCTTTTGAGCCGCTCCCGCCCGTCTTTGCTCCTCGCAATAGCAGCAGCATCAGCGGCTTCCTCTCGCAAAGAGCCCACATCTCGAAGGGCCAGAGGACTGAAGGGAAAGCCGCCGGTCGAAAAGGAATGAGCCTAGAGGATCGGCGCGGCCTCGCCAGGCGATCTGCGGACCGACCAACCGATGAGGCCTGTGCTAGGCTCATACAGCGATAGGCTACGCTACAGTGATCCCATACCCCCTGTTTCCCTCTCCCTGCTTGGCCAGCTCTAGCAGCACTTCCCACAGTTGTGCAGCGGCGCGGCCGGCACTCGCAGCAGGCTGCGTCTGCAGCAGACTTGCACAGCGTTTCTCTTTCGTTTTGGGTAAGCCCCAATATCGAAGGCCGCTGTCACTCTCTCCAGACATCGGCATGTCTGGTCCCCATCCCTTAGGACCCCTGTTAGTAACGACCCCCCCCCCTCCTCCCCCCATATACACCCTCCCTAGTTTGCAGCCCCTCTTCCCTTCATCGGCCTCGACTCGCTCGGTGTTGGGCTGGTGGGGTCGACTCACTGTTGCGATGATGGTGATGGCGGTGGGTCAATGGTTGAATGGTCGAGGAAGGTCTCCTTGCGCTGTCCTCCTGTCAACTACCACCCAACCACCTTCTCCCCTTAAGACTCGTCCAGCAGCCTCCTACAGCCCGACCAACCCGCGTGTTCCGGTGTCCCCTTGGTTAAATGGCCCGCTCCCCATTGGCCTAGCCGTACAACAGGAGCGTATGCAGCAGCAGCAGCAGGAGGAACATAGCTCGATAGTCGGCATAGTCGTGGCATAGTGGTGCGACGAATGAAGAGTATCACACTTAGACGGTACAGAGAGTGACAGTACCAATGCTCTCACCCGGCAAACGGATGCGTGGCCTGATTCTCGGAAGAGCGGATCAGCCTCACTCATCGGTAGCGATCCTCGTGTCTATATATGTATATATA